GAAAGAATGTGAACCTTTGCCAAAATGGCGGCACTGCCAACGTGTGGCGCTGCAATCGAAAATGGCGCGGCGGACCACGTAGTGGCGGTGGACCCTCGCGAGCCCGACACTGCCAACGTGGTGGCGCTGCGCTCGAAAATGGTGGCGGCGGTGGACCACGTGGTGGCGGCAGACCCCCGCGGGCTCCCACCAAGAAAGAACATCGTTAATAATTGATTACAACTTGATTATTAAATTGATTGATTAAATACCATTTAATTGATTGATTAAACGGTATTTAATTGATTGATTCATTATCAATTAATTGACGGATTATCATTTAATTGCTTAATTAATTATCATTCAATTGCTTAATTAATTATCAATTAATCGATAGATTAAAAATGGTATTTATTTGATTGATTAATTATCAATTAATTGATAAATTATCAATGCGAGTTGATGTAATCGTTGCATTGAGCCGGATTAGTGTCGGTCAACGACCGATCTTGTAGTCCGACACCAGAGAAAAATGCGGTCACAACATATACACCACATTACAAACCGATGCTATATATGCACTCGCTTCTTTGTTATAATTATAATTAACGAAAGACAGTAAAAGATAATTTAATAATAATTTCATTATGGAGAAACAGGCATGGAGGCAAAACTATAAAGCCAAAATTGTCCACAAAGAAGGCCTTGCGTAGCGAGCGATTTTTTCACTTTTTTTCCTATAAATACTACGAGATATACAGGTGCGCGAACAGCAAGACACCCTTTTTTTCCTTTTCTTTTTACCACAAACGCACCATAAAAGCAATCAGACACTCGCTTCTCCGTATGGTGCCGCTTTTAAAGATCTCGACCATGATTGCTGACGGCTCCTGGGTAGTTCGGGTTTTAGCGCTGCCACTGCGAGATATTTAGATAAATAGTGATAGAAGGAAAGAAAGAAGAGTAAGAGTTTTGAAACGAAGAGAATTAAATTCATTGGTCTTTTATAAAATATTACATACATGTCGCTTCACCTTCGTATGTTACATAAATAATTGTCAGATGCTGTGACTAATTATCACAGCAATAATTAGTATCTGACAATTACGTATGTAACACACGAAGGTAAAGCGACATGTATGTAATATTTTATAAAAGACCAATGAATTAATTCTCTTCGTTTCAAAACTCTTACTCTTCTCTTTCTTTCCTTCTATTACTATTTCATTCCTTTAATTCCTTTTACTTTGTTTTACAAAGTATCAATCTTTTTTAATAAAATATTAAGAAAAGCTGGTTAAAACTTATACTTTTGACAATTGGTAAATTAGAATACTGAGTAAATAAAATGAAATAAAATAAAATAAATAAATAAATAAATTATAAATAAAATTTACACAAAATTTAAACAAATAAAAAATGTATGTGTTACTTGTTATGCTTCTTTTCTGACGATTGTACGTCATCGTCATAATTGATCACATCAGATTGTGCAAGAC